TAGTTATGTCAGCGTCATTGGAGAGTCGAAGTAAGAAGAACCATGGCCATCCTACTAATAAGGACTGGGGTAAAGTAGTCATCTAGGGAAGTCCTGTAAAGAAGGAAAATTGAAAAATAACTTGGCCTTGCTATGAGTATCCATTAGGGGGATACTCTAGTTCTCTTGCCCTTCATAATGGTTAGTTGTTTGCCTCGGACCACAATAGATATGAAAAAAAATGTGTTAGTTAACAACTATTAGAAGATTTGCCATCTATCCTCTATTGGAAAATCCAATTTTCTAGAAGAATCATCTTATCAAGTCCTTCAGGATGTTTGATTGGTAAAATAACAAGTGTATTATTCTGCCGATTGTAGTTAAAATAGAGGGATTGTCCCCAGTATCGATCTCGAGGACTGTGTTAGGAAATATAAGCTTAATTTAAATTTAATTGAGCAAAATTCAATTGGAGGTTTGTAAAATTGGTTTCACGAATTTTAAAACACAAATGTTTATAATAAACAAAGTTCAACAAGATATGAGAGCATGCTAGGGGTCGTGTATGAATTGCCTTGCGAAAACATTAATCCTTATTTCAACAATATAGCCATAATTTCATCAAAATTTTGACTGCAAAACTTGTTTGCTCCTAAAGCCTTAGTGAGAAAACTTCTTAAAATCATAATCAGATTAGTATGTCCATAGAAAATCAATTTGAGATCAAGCAATGAAAATGGTTTCAGCAGTAATCAAGTGCAACAGGGTAATCCTAGTCCTAGAAATTATCTACCGAGGCATTATTGATCAAATTGTATTAACAATGGTTTTTTTGACCTAAGTTAACTGTAAAACGAAATCAATTTTTCCGGTTGAAAAAGTTATAAAATCATTGATCGATAAAATTTGATTAAGAAAATAAGTGCTTATATTATTAAAACAAAAAAATAATGTCATTACAATAAAAATTCAGGGACACCCCATAGCATTTGGGGGGTTTAGCTACTCGTATTCAATAAAGTAAATCGAACAATTAGATACAACATTACAGTAGAAATGGAGATTACTTTTGATCTTCAATTGCTTTTGCCTTTGAAAATCTCTCGTTCTCCCTTATCTTTTGAGCACTCAATTGTATATTCTCGTTCTTTCTTTCACGATCCAAAAGTTCCTCTCCTCTTTTCCAAATGTGTTTCAAATACTAACAGATCCAATAGACAGGCCAAGAAATTCCAAAAATTCCCTTCGGGGTCAAAACCAGTCAAAACAAACAAAGATTGAAAAATGACACGCCCAGGCCAACACGGGTCGTGTCAGCTGACACGGGTAGCCGTGTTGGCCCCCTGTTCCAGATGCCAAACATTTCATCAGCCAGCTTTACTGACACGGGCCATGTAAACTGACACGGGCACTCGTGTCAGCTCCCTGTCTTGCACTCCAACACGCCCAAGTTGCCCTTCTCCTGACACGCCCCATGTCAGGTGACACGGGTGGCTGTGTTAGGCCACTGAATTTGCTTGAAAACCTTCTCCGACTTCCCGAAATCCCCGAATTCTTAGCCTTACTTCGTATGAACCTGAAATCATCAAGACTACCACCAAACGCATAAAATGCACCAAATATAACATAAACTAAATATAGGAACAATGTGATAATGAAAATGTGGAAAGTATAATAAACATCAACATTACGAAAGAAAGTTGTACTGATTGTTGTGAATTTATGCCGAATAAATGGATGAAAACTCATAGAATTGGTGACCGAGCAAAGCATGCCTTAGGAGTAGCGCATTTTGATGTGTGTGGTCCATTTCCAATAGCATCGATTGGAGGGAATAAATACTTCGTGTCATTTGTTGATGAATTCACAATAATGACATGAGTATCCCTTATAAATTTCAAACACGAGGTGTTTGCTGAATTCAAGAAGTTCATAATGAAGGCTGAGAATCAGAGTGCTCAGACTTTGAAGATTCTCAGAACCGATGGTGGAGGTGAGTATAACTCCACTAATTCAGAAATTTTTGCGGGGAGAATGTAATTGAGCATGCGGTTACTGCTCCTTATACTTCTCAACACAATGGTCTTGCTGAGAGAAGAAATCGTACTTTGCTTGATATGGCGAGAAGCATGCTGAAGGAGAAGAAACTTCATCATATGTTATGGGGAGAAGTTGTTGCCACCACAACATATGTGTTAAATAGATGTCCAACGAAGAAGCTGAAGGAAATATTTCCTATTCAGAAGTGGATTGAAGATAAGCAAAGTGTTAGCCATCTGAAGATATTTGGTTATGTATGCTACAAACATGCTCTAGAAGACAGAAGCTGGATGATAGAAGCAAAGTAATGTTACCAGTGGGAACCACAGAACAGGTGCGTACAAGCTCTATTATCCAGAAACTAATAAAGTTAAATTTAGTAGAGACGTCATTGTAAAGGAATCAAAAACATGGAATTGGAACAAGTCTCAATCGAACTCTGATGTGAGAACTTCTGAAGAAAGTTCAGAATTAGAAGTTTCTGAAGTTCAGTCAGAAACTGAAGAAGATTCTGAAGTTGGAGTAGACTCTGATGGTGATTCTGACTCTGAAGGAGACTCAAAAGGTGAAGATGATTCTGATCCAGATTCTGGTGGTGATTCAAATTCTGGCGATGATTCAGATTTTAGGAACATTTCATACTCTAAAGGTGGTCAAGGTTTTTGAGAGGGTCAAACTTCTGAAGTATGAGCATCTGAAGGAGAAGCTTCTGAAGATAGAACATCTGAAGTTCAAGCATCAGAATAAGATTCTGAACGAGGTCAGAGGCCACAGAGAATCAGAAACATTCCAAGAAGATTTGCAGAGTTTGACATGTTACAAGACACTGGAGTAGATTTTGAAGGAGAAGTTATTCAGTGTGCCATGTTAGTAGACTCTGAACTCGTAAGCACGGAAGAGGCTCTTGAGCAGAAAGTATGGCTGAAGGCCATGAAAGAATAATTTGATGCCATAGAGAGGAACAAGACTTGGAAGCTGTCAGAACTTCCAAAGCTGACAAAAGCTAAAGCCAGATGGATCAATTGGCAAACACAAAGCGAGGTTAGTAGCAAGAGGATTTCTGCAGAAACCTGGGTTAGATTATTATGAAGTTTTTGCACATGTAGCGAGACATGAACAATCAAACTGGTGATTGCAATAGTTGCTAACAAGAATTGGTCTCTGATGCATTTAGATGTGAAATCTGCATTTCTGAATTGTCCATTACAAGAAGAGGTATACGTGTCACAACCTTATGGATTTGTTAAAAAGAATCAGGTAGGGATGATGTACAAATTACATAAAGCTTTGTATGGATTGAAGCAAGCGCCTAGAGGCTGAAATCTGAAGATTAATTCATTCTTCAAGGAGCAGGCATTTCAGAAATGTGAGATGGAGTACGGTGTTTATGTTCAATATACTTCTGAAGGCAGTATGATTCTGGTATATCTGTATGTTGATGACATACTGCTGACAAGAAGTTCTGAATAAGAGATAGCTAAGTTCAAGAAGGTGCTGATGAGTGAGTTTGAAATGACTGATCTCGGAAAATGACATATTTTCTAGGGATGAAGTTTATATACCCTGAGAAGGGTATCATTTAGCATCAGAAGAAGTATGAATTTGAACTTCTGAAGAGATTTAAGCTGCAAAACTGTAAGACTGCTATCACACCTGCAGATACAAATCAGAAATTGGATTCTGATTCTGATTGTGAGGATGTGGATGCTACAACCTTCAAACAGTTGGTTGGTTCTCTGAGGTATTTGTGTAATATTAGACCTGATATTTGCTATGCAGTTGGAATTGTTAGTAGGTTCATGAGTAAACCTAAGTGGTCCCATTACCAAGCTGTTGTTAGAATTTTGAAGTATATCAAGAGAACTCTGAAGTATGGAGTGTTATTCCCTTCTAAAAGAAAGATTGAATCATAACTTCTGAATTATTCAGATTCTAATTGGTGTAGAGACAGAGTTGACATAAAAAGTACTTCTAGGTACTTGTTTAAGTTTCTGCGAGGTCTTATTTCTTGGTATTCCAAGAAACAACCTGTTGTTGCGTTGTCAACTTATGAAGTTAAATATATCGCAGGCGTTGTGACTGCATGTCCACATTAAACTTTTGTGTGACATTCCTGAATTTGAACAGCAGCTTTGGATGAATATAAAACACTTAATTGATATATGGCTAAATAGGTTGGATTAGAGCAGTTTTGTCAACTTATGAAGTTAAATATATCGCAGGCGTTGTGACTGCATGTCCACATTAAACTTTTGTGTGGCATTTCTAAATTTGAACAGCAGCTTTGGATGAATATAAAACACTTAATTGATATATGACTAAATAGGTTGGATTGGAGCCGTTCTTAATCTCATTTGTGATATAAATTTGAAGTTCTCTGCAACTTCTTATATTAAATATCTTATATTAAATATGTTTGTAATCTTCGTAAATATTTTACAGTAAAATCGTCATTAATTTAATCATAAATATTTTATAATAAAATTGTCATTAATTTAATTGTCACTCGTAATAATTATATCGTTCTTAGGAAGAAGATACAAAGATTAAATACTTCAATATTCTCAAGTCACTTCATAAAGATTCAACTATATCTATCAATCAAATCTTCCAAACTTTATTTCTTTTCTATCTTTCTATTATTTCTAATTTCACACCATTGGTGATATAATTTTTTATTTATATAAAAAAAAAACATAAAAAGAACACAAGACACCTAATTTGGCTTCAACACATTTTCTTTTTTTCTTTTCCATTTTTCATCATCATTATTACTTTCCCATCCTGTTACTAGTCACGTGGAAAGTGAAAACTTTTATAGAAAATCATTAATATCAGTAGGGTCAACCACCCAAACACTCCCTAAACATTTACCCAACCTCATCAAACCAGCGTTGACTGAACAAACAAACCGAACATCATTCTCCATGTTTCATCCTCAACTCATTCACAACTTTACCAAAACACCCTTCTATGTTTCTTCACACTACAACCTCTGTAACATACTGCATAAACTCCATGTCGTTTTCAAGTCCTGCCATAGTTTTAGGAGCCAAAACGATTTCAAGATCAACACTTCCATTTTCTTCTCTACCAGGAAAAGCTGAAACTTTCCCATCAAATTTATTTGTTCTTCCACTTCGAATCGCCAAAGGTTTCCCCCAACCAAAATCATTATCGTACATAGGAAAACGAGGTGAACTTCCCATAGTTATCATAGCCCCATCGAAATTCCCAAGTGGAAACAACCTAGGATTATTCTCCCAATCCTCTATCCCGCGGCGCACCGTAGCGTCATCGTATACGACGACGTTTTTATGAAGAAGCTCCGCGCAGAATTTTAGATCGTTGGATATTATATCTTTCACCGAAGCAACGGTCGGGATGCTCTGAATCGCGTTACCGAAATAAAACGCGTCCATTTTTGGGTTTAGTCTGTGACGACAATTCACAGCCATACGAAACGTCGACGTTTTGGATAAATCTAATTTTCGTGCACGTGTCACTGAACGCCATAGTTGAGCACTTAACGACTGAAACGACGATATCTCGTTTCTGTAGTTAGTTTTTCCGTTTCCGTTAGCAGTTGCGTTTCCGTTAACAGTTGCGTTTCCGTTAACGTGACCGTTAGAGTTACCGTTTTTCCATCCGTCGTTCGCTTGTTTTCCTATCAATTCCGTTGGATCTGTGAAACCGTTACTGTTACTGTTACAGTTACTGTTTGCTCTGTGTTTGAGTTTGAGAATGGATTCACGAGAGAAATGGAAGACGCGTTCACGGATGGGCTCGTCAACGTCGAAGGTGACGGCGGGACCACCGGCGGGAATTGGGAGGACGGCGGTGGAGTTGAAGACTGTGTCGCGAGTGAAATCTGGAGATTTCGAGATCTTGACGGCGGCGGTGGTGTTTTTAGTGACGGCGGCGAACGTGTTGAAGAAGTGCCAGAAAGAAGTTCCGTCGGTTACGCAATGGTTAACAGTGCAACCGATGAAAACACCGTCGGCGAGTTCGGTGACTTGGACGGCGGCGAGGGGGGTTTTATGGCCGGAGTAAGAAACCGGCAAGTCGTAAGCGAAGAATTCCTTGAAACATGGGTGAACGTCTATGAGGGAAGGTGAAAGGACGGTGTTTAGTGTAAGGTGTTTAGCTTTTGAGTGAACGAAATCGACGCCGGCGTCGTTGCAGGTTATGTAAATGTAACCGTCTGAGTCGGTGGTGAGTCGACCGGCCAGGGGAGGGAAGTGAGAGAGAGCAATTGAGAGAGAGTTTTTGAGGGAGTGGATTAGGTTTTCAGAGGAATAAGGAGGTGCGGAAAGTAAAATACCCTTTTGGATGTAGTGGCATGAAAGCATGGGAAGATCGGAAACGGAAAGTTTTAAGGGTTTTATGGATGATTTTTGGTTTGGGTAGATAATGCATTTTGAAACTGTGGTTGTGGAAGATGAAGGCATTTTGAAAGTTTTGTCTTCTTTGATTTGCCTCTTGTTTTGGTTTGTGTTGTTGCTCAAATGAGAGGGTGGAGTAGGTTTTTATAGAGAACATGAAATAAATAGTTTCTTTTTTAAAAAATAAAAATAAAAAGTATTTTCAATACTCCAAGAAAATTTGTGTTGGGCTCGAGTTCATTTGCTTTATTCAAATTTTGACTTTATTTATCTAATTTTTAAATATATAAATAATTTAATTACATATATTGTGTAAAAAATAAATGTAATAACTTTTTTGTTATGTCTAGTGAGAACTTGATGTATAATATAAATATTTAATTTACAAAGATAGATTAGGATAATGGATGACGTGGCTAAAAACGGTGCTTTAAGGATGACACGCGCAGCTGCGCATGGTAGTGAGAGCTCTGGTCACTCTGGGAAAGAAATATTTTATTTTCAAAGTTTGAGCGTTTACAGTTTTATTTATTTTAATTTAATAATTTCAATCCTTTGTTCTATTAGTCCTGGTTTCACCATATTTGATAATTTAATATATTAAACTAATAGTATTATAAACAAAAAAATAGTTTTAAATTATTCATATAATTTTTTAATGTATTCTCGTTATAATAGTTTGAGACTATGTAAATTATAATAAAAAATAATAATCAAAAGCACATTGAAAAATTCATGGATACCAAATAGGAGTAATAAGTTTGTGAAAAATATAATTTTATAAAGTATAAGATATTACGTGTTATGAGTTCAAAAAACTATTTTTTGAAAGACATCTTAAATGTAGGTCAAAGTTGTCTATAGATTACAAATAACATGTTTTTGTTTTTGTTTGGACCAAACAAATAACATTGTTAACAATAACGAATTTCAAAATAACTTATTTTATATGATTAAATTTTTGTCTCATAGATTGTGTTCGAAACAACAATTCAACTCATTATGAATTACATATAACAAGTCTTTACTGGAACAATTGAAATTTTTTTGCAAGATAATTGATGATTTGGATAATACCGAGGTGAAAATTGATGAAGACGACAAGGCTAATAATACTTTGGACAAATTCTTTGGGTAATTAAAGAATGTCTTTCTTTATGGTAAGGAAAGTATTAATACTTTGGACAAAGTTCATGCGACTGTGAGATCTAAAAAGCTTTCAATGATAAAATATTTGAAGGTTAATTAACGATAACAGTGAAGACTTAAGTGTCTAAAGAAGATGAAGTTGGAATAGAGGTTAGTTAAGAAGATAAAGAGAATATATGGTAATGCTAGTAGATAGACAAAGGTAGAAATTTCTTGGAATTTTGAAAATCTTTTGAGATATCTAAGAGGATTGTGAAACACTTGCAAACACCTTGGATTTGTTTGATTCATATATATAAAGCTGAAGAGATTGATAAACACCTATATCCCCATAGTAGATCATTTTGAACGAACTACTTAAACAAATTCTTTGTGTATTCATCCTTTATCTTTCTCTTGCATGTTGTAGATTTGCTCACATTTTTTGCATGTTATTTTGTTGCTTGAGGAATTTAGTTAGTTTTCATTTTTTTTCCACAGTTGTCATAACTCTCAACGAAATTAATATTATTGTGAGATTTTCAACAAGAAGGTCTTGGTTGTAATTGAACCTTTCAATTTCACAACACTGTCATCAAATGATATAGGTTTGTCCAGCTTAAAGTTCCTTTGGTACGATCTTCTTGCCTTTAGACTTCAAGGAAATGGACTTGGGCTTCTTCTTTGTTTCATCTTCATTCGGGTCAATCTCTTGACTTCAAAAGGAGCTAATGAGTTCTTCGAGTAAAAGATTCTCGAGGTCTTTTTATTCATAGGCAGTTGTAACTTTGAGTCTCTATCTTCTTGGTAAAAAAAGTTAGAATCTTTTCCATATTATTTGTTGTGGTGTAGCTTTTATAGAAAATTTTAGTCATATGAGGTTTGAAAGCAAGAAAACATAACTTGTATGTTTTAATCCTTCTTCATCTGGAACAACTCATATTGAACTTGGATAATTTTACAAGGCCCTGGAAGAAATTTCCCAAAAGGACGCAATATGAATCAGTTGAACCAATATTGTGTGAGTGCCCCTTAGTCGGACCATAGGTCTCCTTAAAGGAATGAGAAGTCACGCCCTATTGGGCCTGGGCCTAACCTCCCTATCCAAACCACGTTTCCTACTATTTTAACTGATGAGGGATGTGGCATGCACAAAATCAATCAAGGAATGAGGAACAACTAATTCTTTCAAGATTGCAAGAAGAATTGCAGGCTTCCCATTATCTCATCTTTAACCGAAATAAGGGGAAAACACCCCTTTGGCCTCCGATTAAGTCTCAAGTGGTCTCCTATATATACTCCATTTGTGGAAAGGGGGAGCCTTCAATTCCCTAAAAAAAACATACACACAAGAGCTCTTCGCAATCCTTACGTGGGCAAGCTCTCAACATAACTCAAACCCCTAAAATTTCATACAACTTTACAAAAATAGGCAACTCTTCATTGTATTTTTTAACAAGTACACATATAATCTTACCAGTTCATTTGCTCTAGATTATTTGTCTTGTTTGTTCCTTTTATATTTTTTGTATAAAGAATTATAAATACTCTTTGTTATCAATATTATAAAATTTCTTAAAGGTTATAAATTTATAAGATGTTTTCTAACTTTATGAGCATCTTGAACTCTTTCTTTTTTTTATCTACAATCATTTTTCTTTCTTGGTACCTCTGCATCAGTTGCATAAAAAGGTATTATGTATCATTGTTCAACTATATTCCATTGTTGAACATCGTGACAAATAAAGAAATTGTTAAATTTATCTTTTTAGTAGTTAAATTTTTCTATATCAAAATTGGAGGTCTATTTGTGTAACTTTTAGGCTATGTTTCGATATTTCAAAAGAACAGAGCAGAGCAAAATGAAACTGAGGGGAATGTAATGGAACAGAGCGAAACTGAATGGGTTTTTCTTTTCAGTGCTTTGATATTTTATGGTGGAATGTAAGGAATATATTATTCCGTCCAACGACCATGATGCAGTTTTACCTTTGCCTCTACAGTGAATGGCCTCACAAGACACAAAGCAATAAAGTGAGAAGCCAAGAAGGGGAAAATCTATCATGCTCACTTGGCACCGCTCGACTTCAGCTTGCCCGACAACCCTGACAGATTTTCCCCTTCTTGGCTTTGTTCCCACTTCATTGCTTTGTGTCTTTTTATTTGATTTCTTGCATGTTTCCTACACACTTAGCACACACATCAAGGATACCAAAGACAATTGCAATTTATATAAAATTATAAGAAAACTCGGGGAAATTAATCATTGAAACTGCAAAATAAAGTCAAAAAATGCCAAGATTTTATGTACAAAAATAGTCAAGATTTGCACTTATCAAACTCTCTCAACTTAAAATTTTGTTTGTCCTCAAACAATGGTAAATCAAACCTAAAAGAAACAAGAGTAACTACCAAGAAATCATGATCAACGAGTTTTTAGAATGAAAATAAATGTATGGTTCAAATCGCAAAAGTATAAGCAAAGTGATGCTTACCACTATATTATAACGACACCATAATTATGAAACGAATTCTAAACACAAAAAAATGTCAAAATTCTAAAGCAACACAACTTCAAATATGAATCACACCTAACACACAACTTCATCAATTGATGAAAAATAAACATGAAGGACTTGACTCACACCCAACAATCTTGCTAACATCTATATCAAATTATGCATTCATCCAAAAAATTCATATTGAAAGCATAAAAACACAAATCAGAAGGACTTCAAGTGTTGTGATGTGGATTGGTTAACAAGAAGGGTCATATCTTAAGGTAATTAAAAAAAAATATTGTCTAAACAAATGAGAGTGATCACTACTCAAATTCTCAAGCATTCACAAATTCATTCATTTTTTTCTCATTGCACAACTGTTACACCTTTTCACACAACTTATTAGCACAAAATTTATTTTTCACCTTTTCTTCCAAACAAATCTCCTTTTTTTTCACTTTTTTTCTTACTTTTTTCAAAATTTTCTTTTTCTTTTCTCAACCTCTTAGCAATCCACCGTTTTCCCCCTAACTTGAATACAATTAATTATTATAATATGAATGCTCCCAAACTTTTTAAGGCTTGGGTAAAAATTTAAACCATAACTCATGGTTGAAGGTTCAAGTGTTTCAAGAAACAAATTCATAACCCATAGAAAAATCAATGATGAACTACTCTTTGCATGCAAAGGAAAATTGCCATAGTTCAAAATTGATATAGATTCATACGTTAAAGCTTTAAGGGGTTAACGAATTCTCGCTCACTCACAAGGTAAGTTACTTTTGGTCAAGTAGTTGTGCTCAAAATCAAACAAAATACCTTAATCATTTTCATGCTTTCATACAATTCAATGCAAATGTAAGATTAAACATAAATTAAACGAGTTAAAACAAGAATTATTGGTCTCCTGTGCATATAGCAAACAATGGAAGTTTCCTCACATTTGGTTATGAACTAAAGTGATTCAAATATGGACATGTATTGCAAAAGAATGAATGACATGATATTTGTACAAATTACCAAGTTTCATATTCATGCCATGTTATAGAAATCAATAAACATTCACCTTACAGAGTACCAATTTTAAATTCTATCATTACCAAACATTTTCATGTTAAAACATTCAAACCTGAAATAATCACTCCATACTTCTTCAAGCCAATAAAAAATAAGCTTCTTGGACAACACCAAATTATTCTCTAACAACTTTGTATTGAACAAGTATGTATTATAGACAAATGTAAAAATCCCAAAAATATAGACAAGTGTAGAAAGCTCAAAAATATAGACAAAGGTAAAAAAGCTCAAAAATATAGTAAAGTGTATAAAAACCAAAAGTATAGACAAATGTACAAACCTTAAAAATATAGAAACTACTGTTACACTTTCAATATCAAAATATCAATCCCTGACAACGACGTCATTTTGTTGATGCGG